GAACGTCCCTCCCGCGGGAGGGCGGGCCGCCGGGGCCCGCCCGGGAGCCTTGGGCAGTAGCGTTCATCGGGCAGGGGTGCTTTCCAGGGGCCTCACCGCCGCCGTCGTGTCGGGTAAACTGCAGCGAAGAAAGTCTTCTGGCTCTTCAGGGCGTCAAAACTCCGCTTGCCCGGACTGGAGGTCAGGATTATGGCCTTACTCGTCTACGCTGAAGTGAAAGAGCGGTGTTTGCTGATAGAGTGCTCTTCAGCGCAGTGCCTGTGCACAGGCTGCAGTGGATCAGTCCTCCTTTAATTAGGCGGTAACAACAGGAAATAAAATTGTTTGGAAAGCAGCAGCTTAACCTATGGAATGAAAGAACCCGTTCTAAAAATTAGAATTTTGTTTAATGGCGAGGTCAGGAAACTTGAATATACACGTAATTATAAAAATACAGGCTTTTTTTTTTTTTTTTTACTTTTTATAAGCAAATGCAAGCACGTTTTTCCTACTTCAACATAAAACTTGGATTTTCCTTCTGTCACACAGCTCCATAATTTGAAAACCCAGTAAATCAAACGCCATAATGGGATCCTCCTTTTTAACATTCTAAAAACTTTCAAAAATCTTCGCCTGCTTCTTCAATGTGGTCCCAATTCGGTGAGCTGACAAACAAGACATGAAAATACTCAGTACAGTGCAAGAGGTTCAGAGCACTGCGTAAAATTAGGTTCTTTTCTTGCCTAAATCCTTCAGTTTTGTAATAGTTTCAGTGTGCCCGTTTTCAAAGTCTTTTCAGAAAACTACTTTCAAATACAAGTTTAATCTACAGTTGTAAAAGGTTTCTTCATAGTAGAAGTAAAGACCTGTTTGGCAGTTCTCAGTTCCAGAAATAATGTTAGTAAACTGCATGGCTTTTGTGGAAGTTGAAAATTCGTATTTTAAAATCTGTATCTCTTCTGTAGCTTAGAATAAATGCTATTGCAAAATATCCTTTTTCAGTCTAAGGCCTCAGAAATAACTATTGCATTTACTTTCTCTTGTGGTAGAATAGTAGAATAGAACAGGAAGGGAAGTACAACGATGATCTAGTCCAACAGTATGTTTTTATGGCATAAAAGAAAAAAGTTATGCCCACTGGATGACTACACTCAAACGTAATTGAGACACCGCATTGCAAATTCTGGTTGAATACAGACGCCACAATTGCCGGTTAAGTCACATATGTAAAATGTAATTATGGGAAATGGGATCCTAAAAATCGACTTCCAAAACCAAAAGACTCCATTTGATTCAAGGAGAACCTCTACTAATTTTCTGTAAGAGGTGGTTGGATCTTCAGTGTCAAGCAAGAAGTGAAGGAGAACAGGATTTTCTGGTTCTGAGGTTTGAGTCAATTCCACTTTTTACAGCTTATGCTATGCAATCATCAAGAGATAGCCCTTTTCCTAAGGCCAATGGGCGTGAGCTATCTGGCATACATATTCACATGGATCTTTTCTAATATTCACTGGAACGTAGGGAAAAATATTTTGGATTTATGGTTAACCTCAAAAATGAGGTCAGAATCAATCAGGGAACCATATTAAATCAGCCAGAACACAAAGATGACAAACTTTAGAGCTGTCAATAAAAGGAACTTATTTCCTACTCCAAGATAACAACTATTTAATCTAGATTTCTTTTCTAAAATAAAATGAACAATGTACAGATAATGAAATGCTATTATTTAAACATAATAGTTGTAATCTAATAAAAAAAGCTCCTGTAAAAGATTTCACTCCTTGATACACTTAAGGTGGATTTGAGAAGTTTGGTCCAATAATGAGCGAAAGCAAACTGTAATAATAAAAGAAATATCCAGGAGGATGAGGAAAAGTATCCCATGAAGATATGGGATAGGAAATTGAATGCAATAGTTTTAAAATTAAAATCAAATGGATAATTCATTAGCATCGAATGAATGATAATTTAAGTCCAGTCTCTTAGAAGTGCTGGTCACAGCCACGTTCTTGATAAGTGGCTTACCTGAACCCAAATTACCATCACGATAAGTCTCAGCAGAAAAATCAATGGCATAAAGTTAGAAAAATGTTCCTTTTCAAATCTGGTGAAGGTCTCTCTAAGGTATCAAAGAAGAAAGGGAGGAGTTGGCCATTCAGTTTAAAAGAAAAAGCATTCGAATTTTTTTGAACTGCAGAGATCATCCTTCGACTCTCAAAGCTGACAAAAGAGATTAAAAACCTCAAAAGCATCAGTGTCTATATTCATCTGAAATTTCAAGTCTCTGTAGAAATATTACATTTAACATAATGTTTATTTTAGAAGATAAGGGTTTTTTTGATTAATTTTATCAGTCAATCAGTATATAATCTGTAATTTCCTTTAACTGGTTTTCATCCCCGCATCTTGAATACCCAGAGGAAACTTCTTTTCTTCTGGAAGTAAGTCTTGAAGTAAATTGTCCTCATTTTCCACTGAGATCTGAATTTCAGTTTCTTTTTTCAAGGGGTTTTCTTCTTTTGAAAGGGGAATTTTCTCCCCTGTTGGGGAATAATAGGGAGTGTTTCCATATTCCATGCTAGTTGAACTAGTCTGTTCTGGGAACTGGGAACTGCAGTCTGGACTACATACTTTAACAATACAAGTCACATTCACCTGCGTTCCTCCATTACCAGAATGTTCTGTCAAATAAACAGAAAACACATTAAACATGGAAGAATGAAACGGTTGGATTCTTTATCCAGTTCTTTGACTTAAAGTTAAAATAGACACTAAATACCTTCTTGCTTCATTTAATTTAGGTAAGCTGGTGGAGTTGGTTCTGTAATGTTTTAAGGGTTTTTTGGTACCGTAAAATCCACGCCATCCCAGAAATAAAAAAGCTATAAAAATGAATAGAGCCCTGGATCACAGCCAGCTCCCTACCCATCTGTTGCCATTTTAGATGCTTTTGACAATGTTCTGTTCTTACTGCTCCCTTTGGCTCTTACTCCCACTCACAGGTAAGTGCCTACCATCACACTGATCCCCTACTCTGCAAATAACTTCTTCTCCATTGAGCACACTCTCTTTACTGTCTTAGGCTGACAAAACAATCACTTTTTCTTTTCAAAAGTTACACTCTCTGCTGAACATGGGTCTGATGTTTTATCCTGCCATTTAAACTTCTGCTAAGAAGACTCATAATTGATAATCAAATTTCAAGAGGTTCTGGATCATTCTGATACATTCTTACCTGAACTCGCAGAGTTGTGTCTGTCTCCACTGTGAAGCTTACAGCCTTCTGCAGCTGAATGTTGCTGCTGAAATCCTTCTTTCTTTTCATTGTTCTTGTTCCTTACTACACTGACTCTTGCAGACCCAGCTGAATTATTCAGGGAGCTACTGCTGGACCCAGAAGTTTCCAAGAGATGCTGTTCCTCCTGTTCAGAACTGCTGGAGTTTTGCGATCCTGTATTTCTCACTTTCTTGTCACTCTGCTTTTCTGTAGGGGAACAAGGCTGGAACATTTGCAGAGAAATGCAAAACATTAATCTTTTTAAAAAACACTAACAAAGAACTGGTCAGTACATAGGCAGCTAAAGAAACCACTGATAATTGCCATTTGCATAATGATGACTGTAAGTAAAATTCATACCCACTCATTAGGCATTCAACAAAATGAACCTGTCTCCTGAAGGCACCTACAGTACTTCACTGATTACCTAGGGAACAAAGGCTCTAAATCTGGTCTTCTGAACCACACCTCTGTTTTATTGCTAATATAGCCTAACATAAAGCGAGGATGGTACATTATGTAGGTTATGTAAGGTACATCTTACACTCAAGGTACATCTTACACTTGGGGACCAAACCACCCCATTCTCACTCTTGTGTTGTCTTTCTGCTGTGCAGTTTTCTTCTACTTGTAATTAGATAAGACTGCATAATTTCTATATAACTTTTAAAGAAATGGAAAAGATGGAAAGGAAGGAGTGACACTCACCGAATCTGCTTCTGTAGTCGGTGGAGAATATACAAGGGCTGCAAGTGAGCAAAGACGGTTCATTAGCACCTAAATTTGTTTCAGTTGCAAAAGCTGCTCTCTTAACTAGTCTGAATGATATCCTCTGCTCCTGGCATAAACTCCAAATGTACATTTATTACACACTGTTTGAAAATGTTGAAAGCTATATTGTATTAATTTTGTAAGGTGAGTTAAATTTACCCAGCAAGGAAAAATTTAGCCACCCTCTGCATGAATTAATGATTTTTCTAGTATAGTGTCAGTGAGAAAAGGTATTGATGACAATAAACTACGGTCATGACTGTTTAATGGTAACATTTGACAATGTCTAATATTTAAATGATGAAGTACAAAATATTTTACAGGCTCCAGTAGGAGCACAACTGTTGTACAGTTGTCCAACTCCACTGGGATGTTGTGTGTTTAGACAATTATCTAAAATCTGAGGAACAAGAGAGATTTGAATGGAACATTTGCCTCACTGTATCCCTGTATTGAGATTAATTTCACCCCATGTGATTTAATACAGATACTTTTACTCTCCATATGGAATTCCTGGAGTATTTTTTTTAAATGATATTTTTCTGTAGCTGCAAAGCTTATGTGATCAAGCTGATTTGCATGAGTTTTCTCTTAGTCTCTCTTCTATTGACCTTTCAACCCTTTGGCCAATTTCACCCCAATGTAACAGAGGAATGGTGTCAAAAGCTCCTCAGGGTTTCATGAAGCTATAGGCTGCCAGGTAGTGAGGCAGAAACCTGTAAATCACCACCTTGTCCCGTTGAAAAAAAAAAAAATTAGACACCAAAGAATCTACACCCTAGTGATACTTCATCCATATCCAGCCATGAGAAAAGCTTCAAAGACAGTAGCATCTTCTAAAACACTAACATCAGTCAACCACTAGGCTCAAATTAGCAGAAAATAAGGTAACATTCTTTCCAGTATTTACAGATCTGCTTGTTTTCACTTCATGAATCTTACCTTTTTTTTTGGAGACTAAGCAATACCCCAAAATAGTGATTATCAGGACCAATAACAATGGTCCTGCTACTGATCCTGAAAATAAATTAAAAAGATAAATTATTTAGCAGGTTGTTCTGACAAAGGATTTAATTAGAAAGAGGTAGTTCTGTAGTTTCTGTCCATGGCTACAAAAGCTAAATTTGCAAGTATCAGGTGTGTTTGACATTTGCATTTGATGCCTCTATTGTCAGATACCAAGGTCTCATTTCAGTCTCCACCACTTCATAAAATTGCATTTTCCTGTCCTGAAAAGTGAGGGCAGACTTTTGGCCTCAGTCACAAAAGGTATCTCTCTAGGCTAGCAACAGTTTGTTAAATACAAGGCCAGGCAGTCCAGAATGCTCCTAAACATGTATGCCTACTGGATAGGTTGTTAACAGGAGAGAATACATCCGCACTTGTGAATGCTACAAGGACTTCCTGTCTTGGGAAAGGCTGCCAGAAGTCTCCAAAGATTTGTGACCAGGTGGTTTATGAAGTCAGGCTTGCCTCAGTCCAGAATCTAAGACACAACCTTTTCTACCAGCTCCTTCATAGTAGCAATTCTCAAGAAATGCCTTGTATAATCGAGTTTTGGGATTTTTTGAAATATTTCCAGAATTACAAGGACTGTAGAATGCACAGGGGTAGCACAGACACATAGGTAAATGTTATGCAACTCACTACAAGCAGCGTCATATTGAATTAATTCACCTGTTCTGAGATTCTGCTTGGGTACAGGTAATTGGTCTTGGAAAGAAACTGAGAACTAAATATAAACTTGCTTCCTAGCCTAGACAAAAATGACTTTAAATGAGTCAATCTCACCGATAATGTGAGACATGTCAGGTACAGAGTTTAAAACGACAGGTCGAGTTACTATTTCAGGTTTGTTGGAAGCCGAACTTTGGGTCAGGAGCAGGTTCAAAATAGTGTGAGGTAGAACTGTGGCAACTGCTGTTCCTGAGTTGCTGCAAATGGTGTCATTCACGCTGTTTCCAGGAACAGCCACTGATTTACAACTGCAAGAAACCAAAAGAGAAGTTAGGAAAGAAAGCAATCCTGTGCACAGTTAAGGTTGCTATTAGACAGAAATACTGGCTTACACTGTATGTGGTATACAGCGGGTATCATAAGATTCCTCATGTGAAAAAGTGCCAGGAGGACAAGGTTTACATTCTGTATCTGTGCTATCTGTCCCTTTAAACAAATAGAAAAACTCCAGTTAGTCATCTAGTGAGAAACAAGAATGAATAATCAAGATCTGCGGTACAGATCCTGGAAGTGATACAGCGGCAGTACACAAAACACAGTCTTTAACTGTCACAGAAGAGGTTTATTTGAAACACCCAAGCCAAACACAAATCAGAAGACTAATCGATTGTTAGTTTGGTGCCCTTGATAGTCAGTCTTTTTCAAAGACTGTAAAAACCCACCAAAAGGTTAAAATGTGATACTGCAGTCATAGCTGAGCTTTTTCACTCATCCCGGAGAGGCTGACACCTATTCCATTCTGTTGGAGTTCTGTATCTTTTCAAATGATTCTTAATTTCTTAAAAATATTCAGTGATCCACCTCTTTGAATATTATTTATTACCTTGAGACGGCTACATTATCAGAGTGGTGACTTTCACCATCTAATAAAGACAGATCAATTCTGCAGGACAGCATAGAGTCATCACTACTTACTAACCAAAATTCAACCTGAAGCCCTGTTTCAAGGATTTAAGCAGGAATTAAATGGTTTTGAGTCTGAGTCACTTGTATGGAAGAAATCACACGGTAGAACAAAACAAAGGAAGATTAAGTTGGATTGGGGAACTTTATGATACATGGTAGTTAACAGATTGCAACATGTTGTCCCTTTGGATATGCCTCTTGAGAATACTGGTGCTGTAGTTACTGTCTACTTGCTAAGATAATTGTCCAGGTTTCGGCTGGGGTAGAGTTAAATTTCTTCCTAGTGCTGGGTTTTGGATTTAGTATGAGAAGAATGTTGATAACACGCTGATGTTTTCAGTTGTTGCTAAGTACCCTGCTAGCCAAGGACATTCAGCTCAAGAAAAAAACCAACCCAAAACAAAACAAGCATTGGGAGGGAGCACAGCCAGGACAGCTGGCCCAGGTGGCCAATGGGGTATTCCATACCATGTGACGTCATGCTCAGTATATGAATGATAGGCGTGTTCCAGGAAGTAGCGATTGCTACTTGGTTATCGGTCAGCGCAGGTGGTGAGCAATTGCATTGTGCATCACTCATTTTGTATATTTTATCATTATCATTATTATTTTCCCTTTTCTGTTCTATTAAATTGTCTTTATCTCAACCCACGAGTTTTTCTCACTCTTACCCTTCCGATTCTCTCCCCGTCCCACTGCGGGGTCGGCGGGGGAGTGAGTGAGCAGCTGTGTGGTATTTGGCTGCCTGCCAGGTTAAACCACGACAATAATGCTTGCTCTAAAAAGAATGCCTAACTGTAGGGAATTAAAAGACAATATTCCTGTAATTTACTGAGTTGGATGCAGATTCAGAAATATTTATGGACTATTAACACAAAAAAAAACCCCTCTTCATACAGTAAAACTATTTTGTGGGTAGAGTGTTCAGAATTAAATTACCTCTTCTGGAAACTCGGTAACCTTTTCCACATTTTTTATGCACTTTACATATTTTGCAGTACTCGTATAGTTTCGAAATGCAGTACTCATTGGGTGGGCAGCTACAGATTCTGTCCTGTGACTTAGTGCACGTTTGATTCTGCACAAATCCTGTTTTTAAAACAAGAATAAAGCAAGATGTTATTAGCAACATTTAAAATCATAGCCTGCAATGTTTCAAGTGAATATGAGGTGATGTTCACATACTATAAACTGAAGACAATTTTGCAGCTTCTGGTTAGTATGCCATCATAAAACAAATATGTTATATGCCCCAACACCTACATTTTCAGACGAGTTTCCTTTCTCTCTCTAGGAAAGGAGAAATTTGCATCTGTAGAATTCACACTTGAAACTCTGTACCTGCAGTAGCATTGTATCGTATCATAACCATAAATATGCACATTTGTGTTACCTCTGCTCATCACTGCAGTCTCTGGGGGCCATACTAAGATTTGTTGTCTATGCAGATCATACAACTGTATTTAAAGTGATTGGAGACCTTACTACAGACATTTTCATACTGTAATTAACCAGCTTTGTAGGATTATCTATTTAGATGAGACCAAAGGTCCTTTGAACAACTGAGACTGTATCCTTAAAACTTAATTGCCAGTGAGTCAAGTAGATACTTTTCTATACCCGTTTCCATTAGAAATGACGGGCAACACAGTATGACTGAATTTGTTAACGCACATGCTCTACTAGACCAAAGTACAGATGTTGGTACAATGTAATACTTTATATACTGTTAAGCTGCTTTAATGAACTGAACCAGCGTGCTCTCCCTGACAACACTGCTTTGCAAAAGAAATAAAAACACAGGAATATCACAACTGGTGTTTGCTGTTGTCAGTTCAGCAGACAAATGGAGGAATGACTGGATGCTGGAAATGTAATTATCCATTTACTCTGTCCAAGTCAGGTCTTAAGCTTCCTTGGCTGGAGAGTATAAGCAGGAAGTTATTCTGCTGATGACATTTGTACCTATTTTAGTGATGCAGTGTCTTAGTTTCCAAGAATGTAAGATTGGTGGCACATTTTTAGGACTTAGAAAGAAAAAGGGGCAGGCCCCCCTGCAAGACTGATTCTTTTCCCCAAACCTTATGAGTACCAAAAGCATGAGAATGGGACTATACAAGTGATAGACAAAACCTAGTTGTCTTAGGAGAAAAGACTAGGTTAAACCAAGCCCACTCTTTGAGCAGGCTGTTAAAGTCACAAATGCCTCTTTAATAATTCAAGCCTACCTTTCCTGCAGGGTGGTGAGCAGGCAAAGCACTGAGGAGACCGATTCCAGATTGCTGTATACGTGTTAGGTCTACAGGGACTGCACTTTGTGTCCACACTGTGACTGCAGTGCTCTGTCTTATATTGACCTATTAAAAAAAACACAAAACAAAACAGGGAAATCTCACTGGAAAAGATCACTAGGAATTGTTTACGGTAAGTTTCATTCTTAGCTGTAGAAACCCTTTACTTCACTGACACTATCAGTTTGGTAATGTATACCAAGCAAGTGTTGATTTAAAGGACTGCACGTATATACAGGGAAACTCTGATTTCATTTATGTCATTTATGCTTGACCCCTTTTCCTACATTCAGCTCAGTGAATTCCAGCCATGTTCAAAACAAGGCAGCCTCAATCCTGAGCAAAACCCCTCAGCATATACTTAGATGCAGCTACCACAGTACGTAAAACAAACTTTTTATCCTCATAGAAGCTGTGTTTTGTGGTGAAACACAGGACTGTGTTTCATGCTGAAAGTCAGGCACATGCTAGAATAATGTGTCTGGGTGAGGCCCCTACTACCTTTACCATCAGCAAGTGAAGAAAGTATAATAAAGTATTACCACAAACAGACCTGAATTAGAACTTCACCACTTGTCACTACTGAAGGGACATGAGCTCACTCTTTTTCCTTCACCTCTTCAGCCAGCCCTAACAGATCAAAGCAATGAGTTTCTGAAGCTACTGGCATTCCAGACAAAATCAAAAGCTATCAATGGTAGTTTCTCCAATGCTTCTCACCAAGAACAGAGTTCAGTGCAGTGGTGGCAATAAGTAAATATGAGCTCCAACATATCCATTTTGGAGAAAGGAAAACACCTCAGTTGCCCTTTCCCCCTTGTTTGGAAGGAGGAAGAAGATAAAAGTCAATGTCTCATATCCTGTACAGAAATGTCCTGGAAAATATACTCAGAAAACAGCAGTAACACTGCGAAAGCCTTTGGAGCTGCTTGGAGAATCTCTGTTCTCCGAAAGAAGGGGCCCTGGAGGTGAGCCATAGAAATTATTTCCAAAGACTTTGTTTTTCCATGTACTTACTTGAACCTTAAAATTCCGCCTCCCACATCCTGCTAATGATTTAGGTGTCAATTTCTGATAAATTATGGTAAAAAAATTCAAATTCATAATAACAAAAATAAAGATTTTAGACTACCTACAACTTGTTGCCCAGAGTTTGTTATTCTGAAAAATTAAAATTAAGGAGAAATAGACTGAACAGTACATACCACAACAGAAAAAGGTTTTACCTATGAATTATCATCTTTCATCCGCTGTGTTTTTAACAAAGGAAGCTTGACAGATCTATCTAGACATTTTCGGTTAATTCAAGCAACTGTGGCTGCTTCAGCATATACTGATTTCCTGCTTCAACTTCCGGATCTCTCTGACAGGAACTCAGCGTTTATGGAGACAAATTTTGTTTGCTCAGCATGTAATGAGACAAATAGGCAGTTTTTTGCTGTGTCTAATGTAATAATATAATGACAACTTATTGCAAAAACTCTGTTATGAAAATACCCCAAAAAAACCAAACCCACACACCTACCTTTCCGCAGTCAACAACTTTTGCTAACGAAAGATCACTAATAATTATCACTGGAGTGTAAGACATGACACCTTAAAGCAGACAGTTTCTGTACCCAGTCACTGACTGTGGCCTGCAGTGTCTGATTTACAGTAAAAGACAACAAAACTCTCTTAATGAGCAATTATAGATTAACCTGTCCAATGGAAAGCCCCTTATATAAATGATATTATCAAAGTACAGAAACTAAGCTCTACCTCATGCCCTGTTTTACAATATATTTATTATTAGTGGGCTTGGGTCTGACGTGTTCTCTAATTTTTGTAATTCCCTTAGTGAGCTGTTGCCCCCTCCCCAAAATGTTGACTTAAAAAGACTTTAATCAAAACACGATGTAAAGCTGTGCTTACAAGAGCTCAGCACAAAGCTGTGCTTACAAGAGCTCAGCAGCCTACCTCCTGATAAGTCCCAGCCAGGTCAACCTTGTAACAGAATTCCAATTCTGATGAACAGTGTGTCTCTTTTGCAGATATTTTTACAGTCACAGCATTTTATCATCTTCCAGCTAGACAACAGCAAAAATTCAATGCTCTTCAGATGTATAAGTAATCAAAACGTACTATGCTCATTTGAAAATTGACTGAATTTGGCTGTGTAAAGTAATAGTTTGAATTATAACCTACCTGGAGGGCACTGGCTGCAACATTTATTAAGTCCTTCTTCATAGAATTCAGTGCTGGGATCTTTGCATTGTGCAAACTGTGGTGTATAAGGCAATGAATATTCCTAGGAGAAATTAAAGGAAAATCATGAATCATGAGTCCATTCTGACCCTAGAGTAGAGATTCAAAAGACACAAACACTTAAAGATCAGTGCAATTATAACCACCTTCCTTTCCAAGACACTGATGTAGACCTGATGAAACAGAAAGCAGCAGATGCCAAAAAGTTGAAGGAGAACGCACAGCTTATACGCTACTTGAGACGATTTAGAGGTTCCTCTGTTTTTCAAAGATCTGTCACAGTGAACAAAGTGATTTCTCCAGGTTTTATGTTCAAAAGAATGCAACTACAGGATTAGCATCACACCTGGTCACTACCAAAGGGCTAAATACCTATTCTCAGCATTCATGATTCAAACAATGACAAAATGCCAGTGAAACCTAAATTCTTACCTGTGGGTTTGTGGAGAGAAGCATTTTCTGCAAAGTGGCTACGTTTAAAAATTATACCTTCTTACTTAGTAGGTCTACTCCCTATACACATTTAGAGCCCTATCTGAAAACCAGAAGATTGACTTTGCTACGTATTAATTCCCTCGGGCCTCCTGAGCCGGTGGAAGAGGGAGCTGTGGGCCTAGCACTACTGCAATGCTTGAGGGAATCTTTCTGTTTTCATCAGTGGGTGCAAAGGACACAGGACACTGAGTTCAATTCTCTATTGCGCTTACGTTCATTATGCCCTCACTTACACCCATGCAATATCCAGGCAAGTTAACCCGTCCCTTCAGTCCAAGAACCTGTACTATTAGAACTGTCTCACCAAAGGAAAGGAAAAAAGGCTTTTATCATTGTGATTCCTTTCTGAACGAAAAAGGCCTTGATGTTTTGAAAACGATGTCTCCAAAAACTGCACGGCTGCTTCTGAAAAGGAGCAATTGGCTACAAGACTTAAATAAAAATAAAAAACCTACCTCATATGGCAGGTCAAATGCATAAGAAACAGTCATGAAATACAGTCAGTGTACCTAATTTTCAGCTCATACCAATCAACACAGCTCACTGACTTCAATGAACAAGTGTCAAAATATTTGAGGACCTGCCATCTGTTTTCAAAGGGAAAAATATACTCACTCAAAAGAAAAAGGCTAATGTTAGGTAGTACAAGCGTAGGAGTTTCCTGCTAGATCAGAAAGAGCTGTTCAAAAAGTATCTGACACTGCTCAATTTTCTGCAGTATGAAGAGATTGCTCGATGTATAATCTACACAAATTTAGAGAAGTACTTTAAAAGTATTATTAAAAAGAGAAATCAAAACAGGAACAAGCTCTCTGGAGGCCGGTAATGAAAATATCCTTCCTCCTTACTGAAAAAACATGTTGATTATCTATCGTCACATTACTGACAAAGTAGTCTAACACTTCCCACTCTCAACAATTACTTAAAGGGAACCCAACATTTTCTTATGTAGCTTGTTGAAATATTTTACCTCTTATCTAACTGTATATCTGAAACAGGATTTCACCCATCTACTCAATGGTCAGTGTCAAAAAGAACCTTTCCTGAGAATGTGAAGGCAGAGAAAGGCCTTCTTGAGTTTCAATATTCATTCCAGAAAAGAAAAAAGGAAAGCAAACCATTTAAGTAGAAGTTTCACTGCTCCTATTTAAAACACTGTGAAAGCTGGTAACACTGACCAGACAATTCTGATGTTTTCTCATCAGTCAGTTGAGTTAAAGACTCAAAACCCGCAAGACGGGGATGGGTTTCACCAATACCAGCCCCATTCTCTCACAGCCAGATCAATGAGAAACCGTCAAGTTGCAAACTGAAGAACAAACTTGTAAAAATGCTTTTAATATGCTAGAAACGGTGATGGGGTGGGGAAGGATGACTGAAAAAAAAAAAAAAAAATCATTCCCTTTCTTAAACACTAGAGCAGGTGAAGTAAGAAACAGCTGCTGAGCACAAGCTGCATTTTTCAAATTCTGCTCTTTGACTTTTGATGAGAAGAAAACCAGGTTTGCAGAAACCATGCTGCAGCCTCAAGTATCTCCAAAATCTACTTTGGCCTCCATTTTTGCTTTCCAGTTAAGAAGGCCTATTTAAAGGGGGCTTGCACAAGGATTGAAGACTTTGAAGCAGAACCAGGAGGCCGGCTTCAGCATTACCAGTTTCATCATTATTAATGAGAATAATAACCATAATAATTCAAAAAGAAAAACAAGGCTTTTCAGTATCTTCTAGGTTCAGTAATAACTGCTAATGCTGGACTTGGTATTATACCCTCAAAGGATGGGCAACGATAAACCATACCATTTTCAAATGTGAGCTGACGCTAAAATCTGATGAAGGAGAAGAAAAGGGCTCTGCTCTCAAAAGTATTTTTTGTGTAAGTTACTTTCTTGTTTATTAAAAGAAGATAGATCAAGTGTTGTCACCACATTTTTGTAGTCACTATGATCAACTTCATTAAAACAAGTACTTGAGAGTCTTTTTAAAATGCAAAACTTCACTGCAAGAGCAGACGCAGGGGAAAAAAGAAAAAGGGAGAAATACAATAAACCGCATCACAAATTATCCTGCTGGTGAAGCTTCCTGGCAAAAAATGTTCTTATCTCAACCTCTGCATTGCCTGTTGTAAATACTGCCCTACGAGTTAAAGACATAGGAAAACCTGTTGGTTGATGGGTTCACATCTATTTCTCTTAAGTTGTGCTTGAAAGGAAATGTCTACTGTCTGATACAATTTCCCTGAAATTTTATCTGATGAGCTGTGGCTCTCAATGACATACAATTGACAATTTCTTGCCAACTGTCCTCAAAGAACATTATGGGAAACTAAAAGAGACTTGTAACTCACTCAGATACAATTTATATACACACATGAGCTCAGCTTTGTTTGCACTGGAAGGATGCCATTAATTTTAGTAGTTACTTCCAATGTAAACTAGTTTAATCAAAGCTGTCAAGGCCAGCAGCCAAATCTCCTACTATGTCAGAGGAAGTGTAGGCCTCTTACTAGGTATAAAACTCTCCCGGATTTCTTGGCTACAAGACGACCCCACTTTTTCTAGCCGTCCCACCAATTTTAAGGTCTGAGTTGGGCAGTACAATATTTGCTGCCCAAAACAAAATCCTCTGGCATCCAGATCCATTGGCTACTTTGGGCTGAAAGACTGATGAGTAGGGGCCAGATTCTATTCCACAATCTTTACATTTTGTTACTGTTTTTATCTCTCGTAAGTCCTTATTTTGTCTTCTGCTTTTACTGTGATTCAGTGTTCTGCAAGCAGATTATGTGAAGGAAAACTAACCTGATGCTGCATCTTTTGCATTATAGCCTTAGAACTTCTCACATTAGATAGTAGTGTCTAATGGCAGCAGACTTTTAAGATATTTATAAGGACAAAATGAAGACTTTGGGAGACTTCATTGAATTTGACAGGTACAAGTAGAAGTAAAATGCCTCATCTATCTAGCAGCAGAGGCACAAACATTATTAAACATGAAATTTAGTCTAGCTTTTAAATAAAATTAAGCAACATATTTTGGCATAGAAATGGGTAAGCTATGCTTCCCTTTGACTACACAACTCACTAGGGAGATTTTTGCAATGCCTTTGTATTAAGCAATAACTAAGAAGTTACATACAAAACGTCAATGACTCAAGACTCTCTCTCCAGAGTCCCTGCATTGTTTGAATCATCTTCCCATCTGCACCACAGACATCCAGTAGATAGGTGACCTAATTTGTCACTGGAGAGGAGTGGGCCAACAGCGGTCTCCATACCAACTGAGAGGTTAGTAGAGACTCTTCTAAATACACACGCACAAGCACAATTGTTTCCAAGACTCCCTATATCCTACCCACTGAAAGATAAAAGTAGCAGAGAACATGCCTGTATCTCATGATTTTCAGGCCCACAGCTGTGCTGTGCGGAGCAGCACTAGTGCAGGGAAAGGGCCTGGGGGCTGTCCCGTTCCACGCAGTCATACAGATGCAACCACAACTGAGACCCTAATGTCTGTACCAGAGGTGAGCCTGAGTCACGAACTACAAAACAAGATCTGGATTCAGACTTCTTCAAAATTAGAAGGGCTTGACCCAATACACCAACCTGGCTCTACCTATTGCTGAGGAAGTCCAGGTCTCAACTACTCACAGCACGTCACAATGTAATGCATTCCCTATGTGCTGAATATTAATTATAATGAACATAATTTCCTTTAATTCCCGCCTTACAGCTTGTTCCTGTATTCTTGGACTTTATGTGTAATTAAATTTAAGTTTCTTCAATAATAGAAATAAAACATGCTAATATAATGGATGAATATATATATATTAATCCATTCACATAACATTCATTTTCACTCAAGGAGGCCATTTAAACAAAGATACTTAAGCATATATTTTAATCCTAACTCACATGTCTACATTTTTATTGGTCTCCTTTTCATACAGTTGCCATCTTCAAACTCAAGCTGTCAAACAAAGTAGTCTGAACGGGAACTACATCTGGCATATAACGTTCTTCACGCATATGAAACCACAATGAAGTCACCAAGGACTCTGACGTAAAAATCTGTTGCTGTGGAAAGGACTTGAGGTAAAGAGATAATGTTTGCTAAGCTACCAAACCTGCTGAAGACAGGAAAAAACAGAATTCTGTTTAAAATATCTAAACTGGTCACTTACAAAAATAATTCTGTTGAAGATTAGTTATCAGATAACAGCAAGTCTCAACAAAATCAGCTGGAGTTGTATCAGGCTCTACCAACTATACTAAAACCATAAAGCTTCTTTTAAAGCTGCTTTCCTGCAAATATCTCTCTAAGATTATGGGTCCATTATGTGGATTGCTCTCCCATCCTATATTGTACTTTACTTCTGTAAAGCAGGAGTCCTTGCATAGCCACAGACAGGTTTACAACTCCACATTCCCCCTCTCTGAGAAAACAGTATCTTTTTGCTTACTGTTAGGGATTCTACTTCATTGCCACTCACCATCATAATATGAAAACATTTTCCCAGAATGAGATGGCAGGAGGCTGCATATTCACAAC